TCTAAACTGAATAGCTCTATTTCCTCAGGCGAAACTCAATTTTCTAAAGCCATACATTGTCATTTAGACCTGTTGTCTTGTATTACTTAACTTATCCTCTGTCCATATCTCTAGGTATACAACAACACCTGTACACACCCATTAGGTTGTACATCCAATGGAGATAACCTGAAATCTTAAGGTAACCTGAAAGTCTGCAAATATCCTCTTTAACACGTGTTGTAAAATGCTTCATTTTGTTTTTTCCAACGACTTAGGCAAATGACGTCACAATAGCCTCTTCGAATCCACCCAAGATGTGCACGCTCAGTAAAGGGAGCCTGCTAAAATATCAATGATTGGTGATAGAATCGATGATTGTATCGATGATTGTATCGATGATTGTATCGATGATAGCATCGATGATTGTATCGATGCCCATGCACTATTTGAGACTAGAGAATCTGTTGTTTGCAAAAAGCACCAGCAGCCCGCTGATATTCTTCTATGGACGGCTGAGTACTGCTCTGGGTAGGATGTTGGCTAGGCATGCTGGGAAAGATTCCTTACGTCAATTACGTCACCTGATTATTCTGACCGTCCTGTTTGGATCATGTCTGCTACAGACTAACGCAGCAGACTCTAGTAAGTCTTTCAAATAGGGGGGGTGGGGGGGATGTAGTGGGGCTATAAATACACACACACATATAAATATATATATATATATATATATGGTGGGTTGGAGGCGGGGTTATAGCTAGCTTCTATTCCCTCCAGAGATCCGCCCCCAGCAGTGTTTCTTCCAGACTTTTTTTCTCCTAGGGGGCACTTGAAATTTTCGGGGGGGGGGGGGGGCGGTAGACTTTATTCGGGGGGGGGGGGGAAGGGGCGGACACTGTTAAAAGTTACATAAAATCAACATTAATAAATATACAAAAGATTTCTTAATAGGCCTAAAATATTCCCAAATTCCAATCCCTTTCCCCCAATGATCCGTCTAAGTACCTCAACCTTTACAGACCGCCTCTCCGCCCGCCAATGATACACTTAGACTTGTGTAAGATCAACAATGAAGTTTAAATTATCGACAGCAATCAATAAGATTGATAGTGTTTCCCAACGGCCTCCTGGTCCCCCATAAAGGATAAGTAACTTGAACCAGTAGCGTCACAGTACACTAAGCTATGTACACCAAAGATTTCACAGAAAAGGCACAATCGGGATATTGCGCAAAGGAAAACTGCGCAAACAGAAAAATGAGCAAATACAAACTAATTATACTTTTGTCATATGTCGTGGAAATATGTATTAATATGCTATAATGTAGTCACTCTTTATTAATGTCTATAAATGCTCGATTTAAGAAAACAAAATACCTAGCGCATTTTTTGTGTGCGCAGTATTCCATTTCGCAAGTTTCCGGTCAGCACATCAAAAGTTGCACACAAGTACACTAAGCTCCGTACTTGAGAGCCACGATATACAAAAGATATGCTAAAACGCATCAAGGAAACACTAGATCAACAAATATTTGTGTTTATTGCAGACAACACGTCACCAGAAACGGGAAGATCCGAACCGTGTTCCGTCAAAAGTTCGTTTTTATTCACCAAAGAAGACGCAACTCCTGGTAAGTTGAGCTAAAATTGACCAACGATAGCACTAATGCTATTGGGATGTGTTGGTTGTAGTTTGAGAACTTATAAGGCAAATGTTATAAAGCGAGCCTATGGGACGTATTCAACCTAAACTGAATGACAACTATTTAAACTCAAATTCATTTGCTATTTAAAAAAAAAAAGTATTTTAACTCATGGCATTTGATTATTCAACGGTTTTAACTCTTGCGTTAATATTTCTTAGCTATTTAAACATCTTGTTCCATTCTATTCAACTAAAAAAAAACAATTTAAAACTACTTTAACCAAATCAAATGCCATTGAGATATACTGAATTATTTAAACCCATTTCCAAAATCTATATTTAGCTCAAGTAAACTATTTTAACAAAATGTCTAAAGATCATTAAACTATTTTAACTCAAGGGCAAAGTTACATTAGCCACATGTTTATTGATTTTATGAGCTATTTTAAGCCCGTCTATTACGTTATTGTGTCACCATGTCCAATGATTTTAAAGAGCTATTTTAAGTTCAGGTCAATAAAATTATATTAGCCACATGTTTATTGATACTAAAGAGCTATTTTAACCCCAGGTTATTGTATCCCATGTCCAATGCCGTTAAAGAGCTATTATTTTAACCCCACATCTATTTCTTTAATGTGTCCTCAAGTCCAGTGCCGTTAAAGATGTTAAAGAGCTATTTATTTTAACCCCCAGGTTCCATGCTGCTGACCCTGCCTACGTCACAAGGGGAGAAGTGGACCCTGATCGAGGACGGACCTGTCGGCTACCTAGAGCTGGACGTCTCCAGCAGCGACCAATCAAAATTGATCTTCTCGAGGTCACCTGACATAGAAGCCATCACTAAGTATTCAGTACGTCCTTGAACTTCCATAAAATCTTCGAATTCTGTTCACTTAAAATGTAACGATACATCATTAATCATTAATCATGCATATACACATATGAGGATTTTAAAAAAAAGCCCTTTTACGATGTGATGGGTTAGATGGTATCGACATTCATGTTTCAGTATACGAACGGAATGAATGTTTAGCAGTGTTTTCTTCAGACATTCTTCTCCTTGGAGGAGGGGATGGACTTAAAACTTTCGGAAGGGAGGTGGAGCGCTTTAAAGTTTCTGGGGTAGTAGACATTGGTTAAACTACAAATTTTCTATACGAATTATATTTTTTCTCTATTTTGTCCGGAGACGGAGTGGTTCACATGCTCCGAAAAAATGACTGAAAGAAACTGTTAGCAACAGTTTTTTGTAGGCTACTCTGTGACGACTTATGAACTTGATTCCTGCCTTACTACTCAGGCTAGAGGCGTAGCGAGGGGGGGGGGCGGGGGGGCAAATATGTCCCCGGGCGCCGACCTGAGGGGGGGCGCGAAATTGAAAGTTGAGGGGGGGTGCAAATGAAAAGTTTGAGGAGGGGTGCAAATCGAAAGTTTGGAGAGGGGTGCAAATGAAAAGTTCGAGGGAGGTGCAAATCGAAAGTCTGGGGGGGGGGGGTGCAAATGAAAAGTTCGAGGGGGGGGGATGCAAATCGAAAGTTTGTCCCCGGGCGCCGGGAAGGGTCGCTACGCATCTGACTCAGGCTACTAGTTTTTTAGTAACAGGGTCATGTTAATACTATATTTTAACGTGGAATAGAGTAACTTTGCTTATATACGTAAAATGTTTATAATCTGTCTGCAGGGACGTCGCCAGGAAACTTTGCCTTTTGTTTTAGAGTGCACGTATAACGGCTGGCTGTACAAGGTGGGTGACACTTATAATTACACTACACATTTTAAGTACTGTTACACTGACTTAGACAGGGCCATTAACCAAACACTACATATTTAAAGTTATCCGCTAATTAACAACAAGTTATCTGCTAATTAATGACAAGTTATCTACTAATTAATGACAAGTTGTAAAAACTTAATTTGTGTTTCCGGTTCCAGTTCAAACAAGAGCTCATCATTCATGACGTCAACGAGCACGCGCCTGTGTTTGACGTCAGCAGGCCATACAACGTCACACTCAGTGAGGTACATAATTATACGGTCTTCTTACGTCGGATATAATTAGCTGCATTGTACGATAGTATCGTTTTATTATCAACTCCTAACACTTTGTTTATTTAACCAATCGCTTATCGTCACATATTTATACCATCAAAAGTTGACTGCTAGTTTTTTTAAATTTATTTTTAACTTAAGTGTATAAATTCTATAGTCGATAAGCTTTAGCTTTTCAATATATAATTATTTAATTTATTTGGTAGTCCTCCAGCGTCACGTGGTTATCCCATAAAATTAATATTGACAGTTTTTATATAACCAACAAGATCCACAGCCAAATGAATTTAAAACATTCACGCATCACCCAAGTGGTTTGGTTAATTTCAAGTCTAAGCCAAGTGTAACTATGGAAGACTTCAATCAATTCTACCATAGTTACACATGGTTACACCATAAAGCCATTATTGGTAATCTTTTTCCAACTTTCAGTCGTCCATAGTCGGAAGTCGTGTGTTTAGCTTACGTCACATCGCACACGACCCTGACGTCACTGGGAGGATCACGAGCTACTCACTGGAGCCTTATAACGACACGAAGGTAACGTCAGTAGTGCCGTCTTAACATGTGGGCATGATAGGCTCTAGGTCCCATGTTAATCTTTTACACTATTGCCAAAGTTATAAATGGTTCAATAAGACTTGGCTCATTAGATTAAACAAACTGCAGTCTGTGTGGCTTAGATCATCATCATCGTCATCATCTTCATCATCATCATCATCATCACTATCATCATCATCATCATCATCATCAACATCATCATCATCATCATTATTATCATCATCATCATCATAATCATTATCATCATCATCATCATCACCATCATCATTAGCATCATCATCATCATCATCATCACCATCATCATTAGCATCATCATTATTATCATCATCATCATCATCATCATTATTATCATCATCATCATCATCATCATCATCATCATCACTATCATTCCCGTGGACCGCTTGTGTAGCATTGGGACGCAATCACCTCACCATCGTACTCGGCTCTTGGTTGGACCCACTGACAGCTGACTTTTTCCATGTTTGTTTCGGCCTACCTACTTTCCTCTTTCAATGGGGCTTATAAACATTAACAAATCTCAATAAATATTCAATAAGACAAAGTTCATCATATGAAATTAACTGCAGTTTGTTTAGCTTAGATGGCATTACACAAATCTTAAAGACGATAAAGGAAAATATAAATTCCATGACATACCGATATGTCCTAAGCATTGAATGTCAAATTCAGTCCAGTATGACTTGGACCATAAAATTTTGAGTAACAACCTAAATATTTAAACCCAGAATTTTAAATTTCTCCACAGTACGATGGACGCCGTTATTTTAGGATCTCACAAGACGGGAGTCACGTGGTCCTGGGTCAGCCAATCGATTACGACGATCTGTATTTCCTCAACCAAACCTACTTCATTTTAAACCTAACGGCCACTGTAAGTAGATCTTCTGTACATGCTCATCTTGGGCTAGAGTGGTAGAGCTTTTGACTGATAACTTGAAAGTCGCGGGTTCGGATTCCATAAGTCCACCCAGCTGTGATAAGTATCTAAGTTTAGTCAGCTCAAATCAGAAGTGATTGCGTATGGTGCTGACCACACTATATGTGAGGGAATATGTAGGGGTCTCAATAAGATTTGATTCAAGACAGTAATGGAGACGTAGCAGCAACTGTTTAATAAGATATCTTTTTCAACGTCGTACACATTGTCTTAACTTACCAAATCTGACCTCACACGTGAACCTTATAAGTGCTCCTCTGTGGTCTCCATTCGTCTCATTATATACTGCCCAACAGCACACTCAACATCAAATCACAACGTTCTCTCTTTTATATACTCGTTCACGTAGTACAACATCAACATACACATACCTCACACAATATCCCTACACACTATTTACGGTACACACACGATTTACAATACGTGCTTTCACAGCCTCACAATATCTTCTTATGCCGAGGTCAAAGAAACAGATTGCCTCCACTGCATCTACTCTATTGATCTACGTTTCCTAGAAAAAAAACTAAATATTTGTAATAAACATTAAGTAATGTGATCAACAAATAGACGTACTTTATGATCGCCTATAGAGATTTTATATATATATATATATATATATATATATATATATATATATATATATATATATATATATATATATATATATATATATATTGAATCATAACTCAACACGATACTGTTTTACCCTGCCGTGGAAGGTTGTTAATTATTGAACTATTTGTTTTTAACTTTGACCCCAACAGGACAACGGCTCGCCCGACCCCCTAACATCCTCCACCATACTGACCATCCAAGTGACGGATGCCGATGACCAGGGTCCGTACTTCGTGTACCCTGACTGTCAGAGACTGGACAACTACTGCACCACGCCCTATTTCCAAACGGTCATCAAGTGCGGCTACACGGTGAGTTGTCGTTCTTGCTGTGCATAGAGTTACCGTTCTTTGTCGCAGTGCATAGTTATCGTTCTTTGTGTCCCTTAGTTTTATGGTGCACAGAGTTAGTTCTTTGTAGCTGTACGTAACTGTACACCCATAGTGTCGTGTTCCTGCTGACATTTTTTCTGGAACTTTCAGGGCCTGCTGAGAATTTACCCCGCCCCTATACTGGCAGAAGACAGAGACACGATGAACTACTCCATCAGCTACAGCATATCCAGAGGTAGGAAATAATTTTTCGAACTTTAACCCAAACCTCTACATTTAAATAATAACTAGCCAATTGTCTATCTTACTGATAATGTAGCTTACTGAAGTGTAGGGGGCCGGGAGGGGGGCCGGGAGGGGGCCGGGAGGGGGGCCGGGAGGGGGGAGAGAGAATTACCCTACAATTTTATTTATTTTTCTTCATTTAAAAGGTACTTTTGTATGTAAAAACTATTGTTACTGTTAAAACTGTCTAATTTTATGTAAATGGGTGTTCTAAAAGGGTTTATTTTCATCGTGATTTACAGAAAAAAATACCGTAGGCCTATCAAACTTTACTTGTATCGGTATTTATTAAAGTTTAACTTTGTCGCCATTCTGTTGTCAACGCCAGGGCTATCCTTACAGTAGTAAGCTTCAGTAGCATATCCAATGCTTTCACTAAAGCCTAACATATACAACGTATCTGTTACTCTGGGTGTAACCTAACATTCAAATCTTGTGCAATGATTTCAATGGAACTTATCATCACAATAGTACCCCATGTTTTCAGTGGAACCGAATCAGCTGACCGAAAAATTTGAGATGAACTCAGTGACAGGGATCATCAAAATCGTCAAGCCCACCTGCTCACTGAGTGTCAAGGAGATCCTCTTGACCATTACGGTAAACATTTGTGTGTGCACTCAGTGTAAAATGATTATAAAAAAAAATATTTTTGTCACATTTTGTTTTAACATAAAAATATAAATGATATAAAAAGAAATTCTAGAAAGTATCAAGTCCTATCTATTACAGTTTCTTTGACTGTTTGATTTTACACAGTAGTGTACTTTTAAATAAATTATCTGTGTTGTTTATATTTTTAAAAAAATAACATATCTTTTTACTGTTACGGGTAATACAAAAGTATTACCTAAATATTTGTGTTTTAAATTTACAATGATTTGCGAAGTTATTGTGTCATATTATTCTTTCAAGCTTAATTATTGCCAAATTTGTGTACATGGTTTTTGTATATCTACTATGATTTTAATATAAATTCTTAAAATTATATTTACTACATCGTCTTCATTTTACGATAAATTTACATACTACCTTTAGATTTTAATGATCAATGCTATGACTTGTCTGCACTCAGCCTATAGAAAGTTAATCCTTATTTATCTACTGGCGTACAGGCCACCGAGATCTCCGCCCTACAGCACAGCACATCCGCCACCCTCCAGGTCGATGTGCTCGACAGCATCGTGGTACCACTGGACAACATCCTCGCCACGGCAGACAAAGCCACCGTCCCCAACGCGGCCTTGAACTCCGAACCCGCCGCCGCCACGCCCAGCGTTAAACCCGAGACAACCGACACCTCCAGCACGGCCACTGTCCCGCTGACCATGTTCCTCCTGTCCTTCCTCGGCTTCATCGCCATCGGCTCCGTCGTCGTCTACATCGCTATCCGAACCGCTCGCTCAAAGCGGAAAGAGAACGCGGGCTCCAACGGTTCTTCCACCACCATCACCAGTAACACCTCCATGGAGGAGGTCGCCCCTGATTGTCACGTGTGTAAACAAGAATACCCCAGCGCCGCCACCTGCTTCCGAGCATGCTCCGTCAAGCGAATCGACCAATCCACTCAACCAAGCCCAAGGCCTGGTAGCTTCAGAAACAAGTTCCGAACATTTATCCAATGTTCCAGCGACCTGACCCAGAAACCTCAAGTCGGGCCTAAACCACAAGACATGAGAAACCCCGTCACAAACAAACCTCAAAGCACGTTTCATTTCGATGACAATATCCACTTCCGGCCCAGCCCCGCCATACCCGGAATCGCCAACACGGGAGGGTTCATGAACGACCCCTCGACCCTGGGCTCGATGAAACATGAGCGCGGGGGAGGTCTGAAGAAGATCGGCGTGGACAAACCGGTCCGGGAGACGGACAGTCCCATGCAGGAGAACCGGTTCAAGATGCGCTTCAACAACATGGTGCCGGAAATTTTCAAAGCCGGAAACCCCAGGGTTCGATTTGATACGAGCAACTTAAACCCTGTCTAGGATAAGAGGGTTTGAAGTTCGACGATACAAGGAACTTAAACCCTGTCTAGGATAAAAGGGTGTGACATGTTTCAAATAATGACTGATACAAATGTTTCTTTATTGATGTGTGTTGATGTATTTCTAGTTTTAGAACATGTTGCTGTAGTTGAAATATTTCAATGATGTCAATGTAACTCTGGCTTAAGCAGCCATTGTGTACGCAATTCATTTCAAGGCTACAATAGAGAAACTTCAAACAATATTATGTACACACGCCGAACCCCCTCCCCCTTTTCCCCGACTCGCACTCTAATTTCAGAAATTTTTATAAAAATCTATACTGTAAAACAAATACTGTAAAACTATACTGTAAGACTATATTGTAAAACTAAGACCGTTGTTCTTGAGTCTTTAATTGAACGATTTTTTTAAGTAAACGATTAATAATTGACAGAAACCTCCGAACGAGTAAGATAAAATATTTTGTTAAATTGCACGAATGTAAATAGAAAATACTATTGACAGATGCAGTGAGATTAGTACAATTAGTATTAAAACAGGTAGTATTAGTTATTTCATAAATTAAAGACAACTACAGGTGCAGTAGACGTTTCGACCCAAGGTATTCGTTAGCACACAATAATGACAATAATGTGGTTACGGATTAGAAAAAAAAGACAAATGTTAACATAATTTTAGACCTAGCTCAAGTTAACCCCATCTCTATACATTGGCCAAACGTTTTTTATCATCCGTGTTTTCTTTTAGATTTAGACAAGACGTGCTTTCAATGATGAGATTTTCACTAATTTTTTTTGGTTTATCACTATTGCGTGCTGACGAAGACCTTAGGTCGAAACGTCCATAATAACTTTGTCTTTAATTTGTGGTGTCACTAACACCACCTGTTTTATTACTAAATTAAATTGAATAAATAGAGGCAACGTTGTAAATCATGGTTGGTGAGGTGGTTGATGAGGTGGTTGGCGTAAATAAGTGACCAACCCACAATTACCAAACCAAACAGACCAGCCTGATTATTTCACACACCGTATTTAGCTACATGTTTCGTCACTCAAAGATTGCAATTTTAGCTACCAAACACAAGTAAAAGTGTTATGCTTGATAAGAAACTTAATAATAGTAACAAAAGAAACACAATCAGCCATGCAGTAGTCATTGAAACACCAGGGTTCGATTCGATACAAGCAACTTAAACCCTGTCAATCAGCCATACAGCAGTTATTGAATGAGTACAATTCGACATCAAAAGATCGCCTTTACATACAATATCGATAACAGACTTTGGTTGGCACAAGCAGTAACCGCAGGAAATATAAACTAAAATAATCTTTAAATTAAAAAACTAACAATACCTGGTATAGCCTACAGCGGACCTGTGGCCTACGGGTGATGTCATGGCAAGTTGTAAACCCCACGACCCCACTTAAGTAAACACTTTCAGGGCACTTTTTTTAAAATGATGTAATAAAATATAAAAATAAACCAAAAAAAACAATTAAACATTTAAAATATAATTATTCGCCTTCTTACCTTGCGTTTGCTTTTATGTGAAATAAAATGTTTTTCATATTTACTACTTTTTGTTTTTGGATGTTAGTAGAATTTTATTTTCTGTAATCTTTGTCATTTTTATTTGAACTAATTTAAATTACTAATGTTATGTTTTTCAAGTATTAAAGTTTAAATTTTTAAGAAGACTGTATTAAAATTTGTGTATTGTTGTTATGAGTTATGTACATTAAATTTTCAAATCGTCATTATCTGCCCAACTAAAATACAATAGTATAGCGTTTTTAGCGAACGTTTCAGTAATTTTAAGAAATTACAACAGGATTTTAATGTAAACCAGACTATTACCAATCGTTTAGTTATAGATATCATACCACTTCTTTACCTCATTGCCATTCGATCCGTTACTTCCCCTTACTATATAATCGTATTGGCAGTCGCTCCATTACTTCCCCTTACTATATACGCTTATTGCCAGTGGAACCATTACTTCCCCTTACTAGAGTATATAGGCTTTTTGGTAGTCAATCCATTACTTCCATTTACTACATAGTAGTTTTGTACAAATCGGTTATGCAAAAGTGTGTGAAAATTTTGATCTCTTTATTTCTGCCATGGCGTACAGAAAATATCAAGTTAGGCCTAAATGAAAGATTATAAAAACCTTGTCTCACTAAAAGTGCACTACTTGATGCTTGAAAGAAACGGAAGTAAACATCCCTTCTAGTTAGGAGAGCTCCATTAGTTATTGTTTCTATTGTTAGGTTACATCAAATACTTTTTAACATTTGTTAGGTTATATCAAATCAATTTTAAGATGTGATGATTCATTTAAAAAACGGCAAATATATAGTATAGACTTATAGCAGGAACTTGTAGCGTAAACATGTTGCCGTCACATGTTGCAAGAAGATTTAGCTAGACTTTGCATAAGAACATCTAGAATATATGAAAGAACTTGTAATAAGATATTTAAAACAATATAGATCTGTTACGTCAAGTACATCTAGTAAGAAAATAATATAAAACAATTATTCGACCAAAAAAAAACGTATGTGTGTGGAAATAAATAAGTCTGTAAAAGTTGGAGGCTTCTAAAAGATACAGGAGGGCCATGGTGAAAAACGTTTTCATCTTATTTGTGTTTTCAATACTATCAGTACCAGTGGCCAGAGGTATTTATAAAAGACATTTTTTTACTTGTTAGCTATATCAAAATATTTGTAAATTGTAATTTACCAGTAATGGTACTTTATTTTTTAATCCATTAAGGCATAGATTTAGGCCTAAATATATGCATTTTTTTACATTTAGGGATCGGTTTTTTAGTTCAAGGTTAGGGATGAGTTGGTTATCGTGAAACTAGCTATACGATTGTGTTTTCTTTGGTAGAAAGGCTTGCAAGAAGGGCCAGTAGAGTTTTTTTTAATAGTTACAAAATACCTTGCTATTGATTATAGCCCGACATTTGTATTAAAATAGTGCGACATATTTGTAAACACTAAATATGGCAAACAATATAACCCACAACCAATTTCCTGAAACCCAGGCAGTAAAACGTGTATGGAACCCGCGGAAAAATTCCTCAAAGTTCAAGGCCATCCGGGGGAGGTGGTCATGGAACTTGCCCTCGGGTCTGAAGGCTTCTGGAGCTCGACTGTCCAGGATGTGACGTCAGGAACGGACATCAGCGAGTACTTTAAAACTGGCCCAGTCAACCAGAGTGACACATTGCACTGGGCTGTCACAGTTGCCAGATTTTTACCAGCAGAAGTAAGATACGCCATCTTCGATTCTGGTATTGATTTATGTAATTTAAAGTTAAATTATTCGAAACCAGTAACATTATTTTTGCTCATCCGATTTTCTTTTTAAAAGCCTATTCATGTAATGAAACAGTAAAACAAATGCACTTTGCAAACTACGTTGCCTGAGTTATAACAGTTTAAGTTAGATTAGATTATCATCAATATTTTACCTATTTCACTGCGTAGATTAGACTATATAAAAGTGATAACTATTCCTCCAGAATCGATTGGTCCCACATGAAATTAAATTTACCTTACACTGTTACATCGATGGGCATACAAAGGTGGGTCTGTGTGGTAGTGGTTGTATGGTAGAGGCTATGTGCTATGTGGTGTACTGGTGTTTTCTAAGGTGTTCAAACATTTGTCACAGTTGTAGTGTGGTTTAACTACGATGAATGCATACAGTGGCTGTGTGATTCGACGAAGATGTCTTGTTTGGCGAGAATAAAGGATCGAATGCTGTTCTAATGATGTTAAGTGGTGAGGTGATAGTGTGCTCGTGTGTAACATTGAAATGGTGTGGTTATCCATCTGCTGATGTGGCTGTGTGGCTACGTGGTGTTCAGGTGTGGCTGTGTTTAGCAGTTACGCTGATATCGTAAATACATTGTCACAATATTGAAGGGTACAAAGACAAAGTGTTATAGCTTATGTAACCAATGTTCAACTCTCCCAGCCATTTTTTCGACGGGGCGTCCTATTGGCCAATAAAGCAAGTACTGATAACGTGACTTCTATGATAGAATTTACAATTTTTAAGGTAACTTTTCTTTTCATGGGTTGTGTTGTTGTTCAACGACTCCATTAGTCCCGATTGTGTATCTGAATATAAATTATGATTTTTTTCTTTAAATTTTTTTTTTAAATTCCAGACTGTTTAAGTTAAATTTAATATTTTGATTCTATAATGAGCAAATGTATAATATCTATTTATAAAACAAATACTTAATATAGAAATAACAATATCATTAAAAATACATTGATGAGAACTTGGCATTTAGATGCAAAAAATAGAAACGTCTCTATGTTGAAGTTGACTTTTTTTGCCGTGCAGGACACACCGGTAGGGTCAGTACTGTATCTGATGCACCTGCACTATCCTACCGTGTCGAGTGCTAATCTAGTCTTCACAGTCATCCACGAGGACGGACTAAATGTAAGTATATCTGTCCATCTGTCCCTTGGCCTAGCAGATATTTGTGACGCTACAACTGATCTTTTTACCTGTTGTCTCCATTGCTCTATGACCTCTGTCATATATTATTGTTTGTGTATGTGTGTATTTGGATAGTTTGTTGCTTTTTGAAGACATATTACACCTTTTTTTAGATTTAAAAATAGAGATAAAAAGTACTAAACAAAAAATGTGTGATGTAATGAATGTTTAAAGGTATTGGCCAGATAAATGTGATGTTTGTTGGCCAGATACAATAATCTTCTACACCATAATATATCAACAGGTTACTTCTTATATTTTCCCAGGATGTATCAGCACAATACTTAAATGTAACAAAGACTGGAGTGATCACGTTGAAAAAATCTCTGGAATCGTTCAGCGACCAGCTGTTGTTGCTGTTGCTGCATAAAAAGGTGAGGAAGTGGCTGATGAGACTGACCAGGTGTACTACCATACAAGCTAGTGTTCATCATCACATAGCAGTTGTATGTCTTTATGAGGGTCTTCTGTAAAGGACGTAACATGACTTCACTCACGTAACGATGTTGTTCAGTGTGAGAAAGAGGTTTAAGAAAGAGCACGACTTATGTATTTTTTAAAAACAAACGTTATTTAAGACTTGCATTGTTTGTTATTTTAGTGTAGGGAAGGAACATTGTGACGTCATTTTTGAGGGGTCTGTTTTATTTTCTTAAAACTTAAGACAATAGTGGGAATTGGGGGGGGGGGGGGGGGGCAGAGGCGTAGCGAGGGCGGGGCGGAGAGTGCGGACCGCACTGGGTGACACCATTTAGGGGAGGGGGGGGGGGGTGACACCAAGGCAAAAAATGGCAAAAAGTACAGAAGCAAAATGCCTTTTTGTGAGATCCATTAGTGATTAATTAAGTTAAATAGTCTTTTAAGTACAAATTAACGGTTATTGCAAAAGGGCGGGGTATTATAGGCCTATGTAGGCCAACACACACACACACACTATATATATACTTTTTTTTTCTTTGGGAGGGGGGTGACACCACGAAATGCCTCACCGGGTGACACCCGACCAAGCGACGCCACTGGGGGGTGGTATTCGTCTGAAGTATTGCATTAAGGACGAACCCTTGGTACGATGGTCGACCTCCCCACAGTCAGTAAGCACAAACACGCGGGGCGCCCAGCAGGTTGACCATGACCTTGATTTCCCCAGCTCCCCGCCCCCGGAGAGACGGTGCCCGTGGTTGTATATGTGGTGGAGGTCATGACCCCGATAGACCCTGAAGCCTCGTCTGAACAGACGCCTCGATTTGTTCTGGAACATTGCCAGTCACGTCATTGTCATGTGGGGGTGTACAGAGTAGAGGCCGATAGTCAGGGGAAGGTAAGTCATGTCAAGTGGGGGTGTACAGAGTAGAGGCCGATAGTCAGGGGAAGGTAAGTCAGATGTTAGGGGCTGATAGTCAGGGGAAGGTAAGTCATGTCATGTGGGGGTGTACAGAGTAGAGGCCGATAGTCAGGGGAAGGTAAGTCATGTCATGTGGGGGTGTACAGAGTAGAGGCCGATAGTCAGGGGAAGGTAAGTCATGTCAAGTGGGGGTGTACAGAGTAGAGGCCGATAGTCAGGGGAAGGTAAGTCATGTCAAGTGGGGGTGTACAGAGTAGAGGCCGATATTCAGGGGAAGATAAGTCAGGTGTTAGAGGCCAATAGTCAGGGGAAGGTAAGCCATGTCATGTGGGGTGTACAGAGTAGAGGCCGATATTCAGAGGGAAGATAAGTCAGGTGTTAGAGGCCAATAGTCAGGGGAAGGTAAGTCAGGTGTTAGAAGGCCGATAGAAAGGGGAAGGTAAGTCATGTCAAGTGAGGTGTACAGAGTAGAGGCCGATAGTCAGTGGAAGGGAAGGCAGGTTTTAGAGGCCGATATATACAGGAAAAGTAGTCAGTTGTTTAAGGGTCGATTGACATGGAAATGTATGTTATTATGCTTAGAGGCGGATAGCGAGGGAATGGTAGATCAGTTATTTAAAGGCAGATGGACAGCAGAGTTTCTTCCATGCGTCTATTCCGGGGGGGGGGGCACTTTCTTTATATAGAAAATATATACTTTACCCATGTCAGCTCCCCCCCACTCGAAAATAAAATATCAAGTGTCGTCGTCTCCCGTCCCCCGTCCCCCCCCCCCCCCCCCCCGAAAAAAAAGTCTGAACGAAACATTGAAAGACAGGGTAAGGTAGTCAATTGTTTAGAAGCCGATAGACATAGAAAGGTAGGTTAGATGTTTAGTTGACATTTAAAGTATTCTAGGCGTTTAATAAAATATTTATACAAGTCATGGGATTTTTTTTTAATAAACAATATTGCTTATCGTAAAAGATAGATTTGAACAAAACATATTTCTAAAATATATACTGGCTCCTGACAATTCACGCGATCAAAACTTTTCCACCTCATAAAACTTTTTAAAACGAGCGATTTTTAAAGGATGTCTGGTTAACGTCAGGATCGGAACATGCGCTGTGTCTGTTTACAGGGGACTAGTGGTCAAAAACAGATTATCTCTTTGTCCAGTTGAACAGCACTCGCGATTGCCGCGTTGGCAAGTGTTCTTGTTTTCGTTGAGATTTCTAAAATAGATTTGAGCTCAGAAGGGGAGACGATCGCCATTAATAAAAACTCAGTGGTTCTAATTTAGTCATTATTGTATGCTGAGCTGCGACTCCGTACTGCTAAGTATAAAATCCACGGACATTCATAGTGCGGATCTATCCCTAGCCCTTATCCTAACCTAAACCTAGTAGCCTTAATATTTACCTAACGGTTAGTTTAACTATTAGAATTAGGTTTAGGGTCAATTTGTAATCGACCTTTTTTAATGGGGGGTGGGGGGTGGGGTGGGGATTGGGGTGTTTAATATACAGGTGGTAAGTGACCTGTAGGAGTGATGGGGGAGAGGGTGAGCAGCAGTGGCGTAGGCAGGGGGGGTTAGGGGGGGTCATACCCCCCCCCCCCCCCCACATAGACCCATCGGTATATATATAAAAAGTGTGAGGGGGATGCAAATCGAAAGTTTGAGACTATCCTGGCTACGCCACTGGTGAGCAGGGCTTATTGACGGGGTAATGCTCTGTTGCCAATGAATCTAATCAACCGATAATATCATCTAAAGAATAAAAAAAAACTGTGTATACAAATATATTAACACTAAAGTGCTGAGGGGGGGGGGGTTATTAAAAATATGTTTGTGTAATGTTACTGACAATTTTAGGGGGAACTAACTTCAATCACACCAAGTCAGTTACTGGCCATGTGTTCATGTACTGTCAACTATTTTATCATAGGGGGTAAGTTCACATAAATGTATCGCCCTTTAATGGTTTGTATAATGAACTGTCGTTACGCATTTGTTGAGATTTTTTCTTTTATAATTTATTTCACAACTAATAAACGTTTTGCTTTAAACCTAAAAAAAATGAAGCTATAGGTAACAGAATTTTTTTCAAATGTTTATTCTAATTATTTTCCATTAATGATGCCGTTTTCTGATTTTTCGTAATAATTATTAGAAGTCTAAATTACAAATGTCTTTAAAAATATAAAGAGAAACATATTACAACATATTTTTAATAAGTCCGATAATAATGAATCAGTAATTTTATCAGCAGCTAAAATACATTGCAGTCAGAAAACCTAAGATGATTTGTTTTTATTTAACATTTGAGAAAAAGTTGATTTTAAAAAAATTTCTCCTATTGTCTACCTGCCCCCCTTTATGATTCAGGTAACCCAGAGAGTTACCGCCAGTTTTTCAGCATCAACTCCAGCACCGGTGCCGTGTACCGTGAGGCATCTGACCCTAGTGGACAGTTTTTTATAAATTCAAAAAATAAAAAAAAAAAATAATAAAAAAAAATTAAAAAAACTAAAAAAATAAAATAAAAAAAATAAAAAAAAAATAAATTC